ACACACACACACACACACACACACACACACACACACACACACACGAGTTTGCAGCGCTTCAGGACAAAGCTGTGCCACTGGATATTTATTTATATATATTATTTTTAGCATGGAACCTCTTTATGAAAGGACGCACACGGTGTGTTAATGTGAACGCATTAAGACGGATTTAAAACCTTTTAGTTGATGAATGAACATGACTGAAGCTGCTCACTGAACAGCATGAAAGCTCTGGTTTCTGCTCTTTACTGTCATTTCTGACTGAATGTATTGATGAATGTTTGGATGAAATGCTCATTTTAAGTTAATTTAAGTCCATAGATCGTGTCTCGTGTGCTGTTTTTAGATGTTTAGAGCTGTTTTGCAAAATATCGCATTCAAAAAAGTGACATTTGAGACCTTGGGCAATTAGACCAGTGTTTTGGGGGTTCTTTCAGAAGAAAATGCAGCCACCAAATGTAATTAATTCTAATTATCTAGGTTTATAACATGTAGTAAGATATAAAATGCTAGTTTTATTGGGTTTTAGACAATTTTGTAAAATCAGAGCATAAATCCAAAACTGTCTCACATTTTTGTGGTAGCACATAGGGTTGGGCAATATTGGCAAAAAAATTAATCACGATTAATTGTGGTATTTAGCCGATAACGATTAATTTGACGATTAATCCCCTGAAGTCTCTTATGTCCTTGTCACATGACCAATTCAGTGGGAAAGATTTGCTCTTCATAAAAATCTGTTCCAAATTATGTCAAAATTACAGACCTCAGGCTATACATCAAATTTTAAATTGTGTTGATAAATAAATAAATTACAGAACCCTTTTTTAATGTCCGTCATGTTTGAAGCGAAGAGGAGCATCGAGCAGACTGACTGGGGAAATCTCCACTCAGTCTGCCTGGTGGCATTAATCGTATTAATCATGAAGTGCCAAAAAATAATCAATTGTTGTTTTTCTGATGATTAATTGCACATGATACGATTATGCCCAACCCTTGTCGTACATGTTTGTACTTTTTGCTTGGTAGTCAGTTGACAGTTAACGGTGTGAGTGTGTGTATTTCTTTTACAAACTGCTGGTGAACCATGTGATGGATTTTGATGAAACTCGCAGAAGTAATCATTTGATGTACATTTGTACACATACTAAACATACATATGGCTACAACTTAATAGGTTTGACAGATTTTGGCCTAAAACTGGTTGTGGTACTAGCTGAGACTGATTTAAATCACATATTCTGAGAGACTGCATAAGAATCAGAGCTGTCTGTTAGCAAAATATCTAAAGAGACAGTGAATGGATTTTAAGGAAACCTTTAAGCAGTATTTAGCTGTACCTCTA